TTATTTTTTATTTTGAAATGCTTGGAGTCTAGGTAATTTTCTAGCATAAAAGATTGCTAGTAACTCTTTTTCATAAGTTAAGAGTGTTTAGTGCTTAAAAGATAGTCTTACTAATATAAGTAATTAGTGCCCTTATTGCATTAGGACAACACCAATACTAATGCTAGAATTACCCATTTCTATGGTAAACTTCTTGGTGAGGTCTCGTAGGACAAGTACCAATGCTAAAGTCATTGATGTTTTAAGGGTGTTGAAGGCCTCTATAGCCTAGTCGGTCCAATTGAAACCATCCTTCTATAAGAAGGATTTTAAGAGCTTACTAAGTAAACCATATCCCTTAATAGACCTTCTATGATACCCTATTAAACATTAGAATCCCTTCAACTATTTTAAATTCTTAGGGATAGACCAATCCATTATAGCTTGTATTTCTTTAAGTCACTCGAAACATTTTAAGCTAAAGTCAAGTACCCCAAGTATTAAAACTTATCACTCCCAAAGACACCTTTATTAAGTTTAGCAAACTTATGGGATTACAAAAGTACTAACACTGTTTTTAGGTGGAAAATATGGTCTTTTAGAGGTTTCTTTTATATATATAAATCAGAATATCATTAAAGAAAACTAGTACAAACTTTCTTAAGTGAGCTCTAAATATATCATTCATGAGATTTTGGAAAGTGATTATGGCATTTGTAAGGCCAAATGGCATTACTAATAACTCATAGTGACCATTTTGAGTTTTGAAAGTTGTTTTGGGTACTTCTAGAGTGGACATATAAATTTAGTGGTATCCATATCTCAAATCAATCTTTAAATAAATATTAGTCCAATGTCATTCTTCTAATAACTCATTAATTAAAGGAATAAGAGACTTATCTTGGATAATAATATTTTTTAGGGCTCGATAATTAACATATAGTTTCCATGAGCCATCTTTTTTTATTTTTTAACTAAGACCATTAGAAAAGCAAGAAGATTGACACTATGTTGAATGATTCATATGGTAACCATTTCTTCCACCAACTACTCCATAGCATCTTTTTGTAACCTAGAGTATATAAATTATCTTTTACTTACAAGTTGAGCCCCGTCTTAAAGATGTATTATATGATCATATAACCTGGAAGGTGATAGAGTTTTGGGTTTTGAAAACACCATTTAGAGTCAACTAATAAGGTTATAATGGCTAGATGATTCTGCTACTACTGATAAGTATGAGTAGTTTGCATAGACAAGATTGTTAGTGAGATAAACTCAAGTGGACTAATGTTATGAAGATGTGCTTGTGCCACTTAAGTAAGAGTATCCAATAGTTTTTATATTTGCATGCCGAAATTGTTTACAATTTGGCATTAGGGTAACCTATAAGTTTAAAATCTCCATCTTCTTATTAAAACTTCATCCATATTTTTTGATAATTAGAAACAATGTCTCCAAGTTTTAAAAACCATTAAATGCCCAAAACCATGTCACTATTATGGTGATCTACCAATAATGCATATATACATAATTAAATTCCTCGCATAACCCATTAAAATCCCTTATATACTATTTCATAAAGCATTATATCCCCATTAGCAACCTTTATAGCTAAGGGCTTGATAGGTGTCAGCCCACAACCTAATCTCTTTACTATTGCCGGATCAAAGAAGTTGTGAGTGATGCTAGAATCTACTAAAATGTGTAAAGTTTTTATTATTATTATTATTATTCATTTAGCCTAAAACTTATAAGGTTTTAAACCCACTCCAACCTTCTAGGGAATTTACAAAAAATATGAGGAAAAGGTTCCTCTTGTAGTTCCTTAGTAAGATGTTGATCCTCCATCCCACCTAATCTTCAACATCATCATCATCACTTGTTTTGATAGAGAAAAGTTATTTTTTCCTACATTTATGTCCAGGTGAATAGGGGTCATCACACCAAAAAGCATTGGTTTTTAGCTTGATTTTCATAAAATTTCTTGCTAGTTAAATTTTCGAGTTGGTATGGTTGTTTCTAATTATTAAGTATGTAAGGTGTAGTTGTAGGTAAAGGATTATATGGAGTTCTTGTAGTTGTGCTAAATTTGGTGAATGCATCCGATATTTTAGTGGTGTAGGTTGATGAAAATTTTGAGTAGTGTTTCTTGTTGTATGTATTAGTATTATATTGTTTTCGAGCTAAATCATAGGCTTTGGTAAGGGTTTGGGGTTCAAACATTGAAACTAAACCCCGAATGTCTTTTCTTAAACTAGTCGAGGACATGCTTAAGACTTGTTGCTTATTGATAGCAACTCTATTCCATAGAACATCAAACTCATATATGTATGGTTCCAAATTAGTAGTTTGAATGAGAGTTTTTAACTAACCCTAAAAATCTAACTTTCCTCCAAATCTGCTTGTCATTACGACTATATACTAATTCCAAGTCGGTTTCCTACCTAATTTGTGTGTAGTTCGGTGTAGTGCTTTACCATCAAGGAAGAAGGAAGCATATTGAACCTTTTTATACTCATCTATAAGTTCGATCTCAAAAAACTAATGGCACATATACAACTATTTGCTTATGTCATCCCCTCAAAGATTGGAAAATCTTTCTTTGGATTTCAAGGTTTACAAAAATGGTTGAACTCAAAACATGATTTTTTAGGTTTATAAGGACCATAGGTAAAAGGTTCGGGGAAAGGAAGAATCATAGTAGTTGTGGGTGTAGGTAAAATGGGATTAGATGGTAAGGGTGTGGGAGGAATACCATGTTGGTGCGATGAAAAAGGACTAGCAAAACTAGATGGTGTTTAATTGTTAGATGATGAAGCCATTAATGTAGTCAATAGGGTTTTGAGTTCTACAAGCATATATGCTAGTTATTTTTTTATCTTGCTCCTATTTTTCCAAATGATTCTTTAACTCTTAAACCATTTCTTTAAACTTTTCGAGTAATGCCTTGAGACAAAACCTTAGAAGCTTCTTCCAGACTTGTAAAGATCATATGAAAGGTTGGTCTAAGGATTGCGAGCTTTGATAGCTAATGATAGTGATAAAAGAAGAAAGAGAAAATGAGAAGGGGAAAACAAGAGAGGAGGAAAGAGAGAGGGAACGAGAGAAAGAATAGAAAAAAATTATGTTATTGTATAATCTACTATTCCGTCCTTATTTGTTACTCTCGATAAATAGAGTATAGCTGTAAGTTTTTAGATAAGTAATAACTATAGCGAGCTTATGCTTAAAATGATGATCCGAGCCCAAAACATTGCTTAAGTCCACAAGTGGCGACAAACCTAATTTTCGACCCCAATACCAATGAGCCCATTATATATTATAAAGAACCATAAAAGATATGGGGTTTTTACTATTCCTACACTATTTACACAATCACATAACATTATTCACTTGATTGCATTTTTGTGATTTTAAGAAACTGGTATTTTTATTATTTGAAGTGTTTTTTAGGCATTTATTTCATTTACGGCACTATTCACACACCTTTTAATGGCCTTTTTAAAGTAATTTTGAGATTTTTTTTCAAGCACTTTATATGTAAAGTTTTGCTCATATTATTCTTTCGTTTCTCATTTTTTCAATAATTTTTATTTTGATTCATAACTTTATTTATATTGTAATTCAATCTCTAGTTGCTAAGCGGAGAGAGAAATAAAGAGAGAAGAGGGAGAAGAGAGATATTTATGTATGAATTTTTTTTATGATTTTTTTAAAAATATTGTTATTTGCTCTTAAAAAAATTAATATAATTTATACGATAAATTCTTTTAATTTTTAAATGGTATAGCATGGTTAAATATATATAATGAATTTTTAGAATATGATTATTTGCTTTATATATATATATATATATATAGTGAATTATTTGAATTTTTAAAAGATAAAAGCATGATATGTATAATATAAAGATTAAAAGTGTTTTTAGATAATTTGCCTCGAGTTTTTTGAAGAAAATTACAAGAAAAGTTTTTAGTTAAAAATCCATGGATTTTTGAATTTTTTCACAAGTTTTTAGTTAAGAATCCGAGTACAAAAGAATAATTCGTATTTTTTTTAGCAAAAAATAAAAAATAAAAAAAACATAATGAATAATTAGTTAAACACAAAATTAAAAAAAATATATTTTTGACTTTATATTCATTTTGATATATTTTAATAGACTCATAATATAATAAATACCATCAAATTAAAACTATTTTTAAAATAACTTCATATGTTATGTCCCATTTGAGCGTAATGTAATGTGAATAAAAATCTAGTATTTCTACCAAACTCTAAATGCCCAATTCAATTTAGTTTCTCTCCCAGCTCAATCCTTTCGCGTCATCTTCTCCCTTGTAGGTATAGCAAGATATCAGGGACTATGGATGATGTATCCACCGAATTGAAATTGAGATCTTCTATGCTAGTTAAGTTTCGAATCAGTCTTTTAAAAGCTGGATTCTTAAGCATTAACTAATCATTTATAGACAAATCAAGATAAAGATGGGTTTTCTCGTATTTTGAAAATTTTTGAGTGGCCATTGATTTCTACAAAAGAATTGCGAAGAGAAGAAAAGGAAAAGATTTTTTTTTTCATTTTCAAAAAAAATTCGCTGATATTTTATTTTTTATTTTTTTATTTTTACGTAAAAAATAAAGCTAAACATGCTATGACAGGTGGTATTTTTTGTTATCACTTGTCACCTTAATAAAAAAAACTGGCAAAAAATTATCAAAAAGACTATGTAAAAAAAAAAAAAAAATAGAACATGATAAATAAATAAAAATAATGAAACCATATTAAAAAAAAAAAAAAAAAAAAAGAAGAGTAAAAGGAACAAATCATATGATTAATCCAATAAAATATCTGTAAAAGGCTAACGGACTAATCAATATGCTGGGAATTGAATACAAATGCATTAACTTAATCCAAATTACTCCATGTCTTAAAATTTTACTAATAAAGTATGGATCCTAGGACCCTAAACGATAGAAAAAAGCAAGTGGCAGGCTATTATATATATTTTCACACTCTAAACCTTATCAAGAAAACTCCTTGCGATCTTGCCATTTCCACCTCTGGGGAGAAATCCACCAGGTTTGTACTCACTCCCAGTTCCATAAAGTATCCTTAGAATCTCAGGTTGTGAACGTGCATAAGAGAGTGAATTGGTATCTGCTGATAAGATGTTACTTTCAGTTCTGTTCTCAGCCCCAAGATACAAAGGTACAATTAGACCTTCATCTTTAATACCACACATGGCAAGCTCATTCCTCACGTTTGAGATTGCGTTAGTGAATTCAGCCACGGTTATGCTATAAGGCAGAACTTTCTCATTAGCTTTCTCATAGAGTAATGCCCGTATTACAGCATCCTGTCCAGACTCTACACCCAAGAGTGACGCAACAAGCTGCATCCAAACAAAAAACAGAAAAGAAAAGGATATTTAGGATAACGTTACTTGAAGTGGTTATAGCCATATATATCTACTTCGTGGTTGAGACTTACGCTTTTAGAAGTATAGTTGGCTAAGAGTGGAATGGTGCCAACATATCCTACTAGTCCCACATAAGGGATAGCATACGACGCTAAGAGATAGTTGACTGTGTTGGAGTAAGGGTTAAATGGAGGGTCTAATTTGTAGCCAATTGCTTTGTCAAATAGTTTTCCAAATGCTTGAGGACTGAGATCATACAGAGGTCTTGGAGTTCCACCAACGGTTGTTATAATAGCCCTGAAAATCAACAGACGAACATTATGGGAGGAACTTATTATTATTGTATATAAATGTAAGCATGCCGATAGTTTTTACTACCTCAAATGGCCAACTTCTTGATAGCCAAATTCCTCAATGATTCGACGGGTAACAGGATCAAGGTTGGCCTTTTGGGCACCAATTGGAGGAGGACCACCTGCGGCAAAAGCTGGTTCAAAGGCATCGAGTCCACGACCGAGTGCACCATTCAAAAAGAACTCTGCTTCGAGGAATTCTAAGTTGAGAGGAAATTGAATCAGATCCTTGTCGTTGGCCTTAATCGGTTCGCAGGATGCAGAGCCTAACGCATTGGTGATTGGAAACGAAACAACAATAGTTAAAAGAAAGGTAGAGAAGAAATAAAGAGGAGCCATTTTTCTTGAGCAGTTCGTCAAATTCAAATACAGAATGGATTGAGATATATAGGTGCTTGAGGGGATTATCATTTGCAGAAGATCCGTAAAATTAAGTTAGCTCATATGTTGTCAATCGGTACAAGTAACCACTTGATAGTTACTAGCTGAAAGGTAAATCTCTATCTAGTTCACGTTTTGTTTTAATTAGACATTGGCGTAACTACACCTCAATTTAGTGTCCTCATCCTCATTTGTAGGGTTGGTATTCCAAAATTAATAACAATTGACCAAACACAATATTAAAACACATAAGAGAAGCTAATAATTTTCTTCCAAACGATTCTTTCTATGATAGGAGTTGGTTGGCATGCGGTATGCCAGCCATATATAACAAATACCCATTTATAAATATCTCATCTTCATTTTACCATCGATATGATAACTTTCAAAACTTAGTGTTAATTGAATTGCATTAAATTGAGCCATAATTGCAATTGGGACCAAAAGAAGGACGAAATTGGTTACGTTTAGTGCAAGAAAAGTAGTTGCCTGTTTTTTCTACATGCGACTAGTTTGTGGTCTCTTCCCGTTGTTTTCCAACCAATTAGAACGTTGTTGGTTTTGTTGGCTTTTCCAGAAGATACATTTTCACAAAATTTATTTCACAATTAAGACAAAAGTTCCTTGTAGAAATTGAAAACAACCATCTCAGGTGGCAATGAACGTACATTTTGCGGCATTTGGTTAAGTGTTGATAAAAACGTCATCAATTTTGTCTAAAATCCGGTCTGAAGAACTAGCTTAGCTTTGAAAGGGAAGAGCAATAGAAGGCACCTAAGTACAAATACATAAATCTCTCACTGTAGCTGAACCACAACTGGGTTTCTGTTTTTGCCCTCTTTTTCTTCGCAAACTTACCTGGTTCACTACACTTTAACTATGGAGATGATTCGGAGGCAGCGCAGTTCTATGAATTTTCCTTCTAATTCTAAATGGCAATCACACAATGCATCGTAACTCAAGCTCCTTCATCAAGCAATTAAAAGTTCCGTGCTTTCACATTACCGCTCTAAAAAGGCCAAGCTATCCATTACGTTTAAGCAGACTTTTCAACAACCCCAAAATGGTAGGACTACAATTTAAGAAATCCAGTGAGATTAATTCATACAGCAAGAAGATGTATGGATGGATTTTATTCGTGATATGTTCCAGCTGGAGAAATTATGAACTGTAATGCAATAAATATGTTCATCGGATTGAGATCCTTCATGCTTACTTCCTCTCTTGTCATGTTCCGTGAATCTAAACTATTAAATTCAAATCGAATGGACATGATTTATTACATGATAAAAATAGTAATGACTTAACTATTTTTTTGTTTTTTTCTCTCACCCAATCTAAATAACTGAATTCAAAACTAATGGTGAGGATTCAAATCCATGTTTCTCAGTATTATTTAACAATAGAAGTCCATACTGCACTCAAAAAACAAGGAAAAAAAAAAAAAAAAGGGTTGGATAGCATCTCCACTTTTACCAGTTTAAGCCATTAGCAAAAAATAAAAAGGAAACTCATATGGATGGCCTTCATATGGGCTTTGGGAGACTGTTATTGCTCTGGACAAAGACATCATACAGTATGATTCATACTGTAAAAACATGAGAGAATTACTAATAACAGTGATCAATACTGGCATATAAAGCTGGTTTATTATTATTATTATTTATTTTTCCGTCCCAAACACAACAAAATTTGTGTACTCTTAAAAGATATGAAGTTGTGACGATCACATAAGTATAATACAGAATAAAAGCTATGATTTTTAGCGAGGATATCCACTGAACTTGTGGAACCATTGTTCTCCTAAAGCTATGATTATTAGCAGGGATATCCACTGAACTTATGGAAACATTGTTTTCCTATGAACCTTGAGTTAGAAATGAGGGAAATCATCAAGTGAACAAAAAAGATAAGGTTTCACTGCAAAGAAAAAGAGAACATACTTAAAAATGAAGCACTACTACACAATAACCCGCTTTGCGCCATCCAAAGTATTCTTGAGCAGCATTGCAACAGTCATTGGACCCACACCACCAGGAACTGGAGTAACATATCCAGCTACCTTACATGCTTCCTTATAATCCACATCTCCCACTAGCCTATAACCAGACTTCCTGCTTGGATCATCGACAGCATTTGTCCCAACATCAATAACTGCAGCACCGGGCTTAATCCAGCTTCCTTTTATCTGAAAGTTAAGGAGAGAAATTTAAATCTAAAAGAGCTTTTCATCCATCAAAGGCAACAAACCAATTCCAACAAATTAGACTTTTAGGAACTGTGAGCTAGCAGAAATTATATTTGTTTTGCATGTGAATATGGTTTGTGTAATCTCGGCATATGCCTAAGCTTACAGAACCTGATTGACTGCACAACAGATGCAACGGTGGAATTTTTTACAATGCAAATGGAACATGTCACGCAGAGAAATTTTCGAAGTTGATAATGTTGTTGTAAGGAAGAATCATCTCCTGTTACCATCATTGGTTGCCCTGCTGCTGCAATAATGATGTCAGCTTCACGAATGATGCTTTCTTGATCATTAGAGCGTGAATGGACCACAGTAACAGTGGCATCTGCTTTCAGAAGAAGCAAGGAAACTGGTAATCCAACTATGTTACTGCGACCAACAACAACTGCCCTTTTTCCCTTAATACTCACACCACTTCGATGAAGAAGTTCAAGACAACCCTGGAGAGAGACGGAATAAGTTGTTCTGCTTAGAAAACACAGCCCAATTGGCATATATATATTTATATATTTCTTCTACAAGGATTTAACTTGTTACACAGTTGACAGCATACTATTTCAACATTGGATATATTAAATTGAGATAAGTTCAAGACCAAATCTATGTCTATTATTACCTTGGGAGTGCAGGGTTGGAAAAGAGGCTCTCTGTCCTTCATTGCAAGCTTGCCGATATTTAGAGGATGAAAGCCATCTACATCCTTTTCAAGACTGATTTCAACTAATACTTTCTCTTCGTTTATATGCTTCGGAAGTGGCAGCTGAACCAATATTCCTACCAATAGAACAAGAGATTGCTTAAAAAATGGGCAGGGCATTGTCGCAAACAGATGCAAAAACCAGCTTCTATAATAAATCTACGAAATGTCGACAGTTTGTTGAAACAATAAATACTTGAAGATTAAACCAACCGTGTACATCAGGATTTGCATTTAACTCATGGACCTTGGCAATGACTTCAGCTTCAGATATTTGCTCAGGGAGGTCTAAGTCATAGGACTTAATACCAACTTCAGCACACGCTTTTCTTTTCATATTCACATAGCTTTGAGAATCCTTCCTGTTTCCTACAATTACTACAGCTAACCCGGGAACCTAACCACATAAAAACATTAAAATATTTTAAATCCTAACGTCAGAAACAGAAAAGCAGACAAAACCCACGACATGAACTTAGTCTTCGCAACATTTCTACAGCTGAAAATGTTAAGAAAGTAGAAAATACTTGTCAATTAATTCTAATTACTTGTTCAATTAAATTTTGGGAAGAGATTTGTGATACCTTGCCGTATTTCTCCGAGAGTTGACGGACTTCCTCGGCAATTTCTGATCGGATTGTTTGAGCGATGACCTTGCCGTCGATTACGGTGGCTTTATGATCCGATTGTGACGCCATTGAAGGAGTGTTGAAAAGGAGTCGGAGCTTGGTTTTCTCACTAGCAGAAGAAGATCAGCAGATTAAAGTCACCGTAAAAGGGCACAGAATTTGGTGACTGAATTGAAGATGGTAGGAGATAAGAGTTAGCGTGGCATTAATATGGTTCAATAAATTATTGTTCTTTAGGTCCCCAATCTAAACATAATTGCTTAATTAGATCCTCAAAGAATATTGTTTTTCAATTGAGAATTAGAAATTCTAAACGAGGCTGCATCCAAATCTGTTAATGATTTCCTTGAAATTACCTATCTTGTACAATAAAATAACAGCATTTTAAGGATAAGTTAATGCTTTTTGTCAACAATTTATAATCTGTTAACGATTTCCTCCTAATTATCTATCTAATAATTTATATATTCCATGCATGATAAACTTCTCATGGACAAGACTTGCTTATTTGCTAAAATTGCAGCTCAAATGAACAATCAAAACCTGCTAAAAAATTGGTTTGCAGCATAAAATCGACTAAAATCGGTTGTGGAATCGTTAAAATCGATTAAGCGGTGAGTTTATAAGCAAATTTAACGATTAAACAACAAAGATTACAAAATTCCTTTACCTTTTAGCTTATTTCGTCACGAATAACTAATAGGATGTACAATAATTATTCCATAAATACACTTTAAGGAGAGAGATAGACACAAAAAAAGAGAGAGAAAATTAAAAAAAATTGAGCAAACATGCAAACATATAAATTTTTTTATCACTTTTAATGGATCCGGATATAATTTAATGTGTCTATCTATCTTTTCAAAATAGATCTATAGAATAACTATCGTACATGTTATTACTTATTTCTTATATATTATAAAATTTCTCCCTAATTTGTGAGCTATGTGTTCATAAGCCCGTTGGTAACATAGGACCCACCCCCTTTGATACAATTAGTATACAAAAGAATAAAGTTTGGTGGCCTATAGCCTTTTCTTCCTCTGTAAAACGTTATCTTTATAGGCTAAACCCTCTGGTTTAGATCAACAAATTAATTAGTCCTTATATATATATATCAATGATGAAAGGAAATTTATTTCCAATTTACAAGTATTCACACTCAATTTATTCCATATTTGCATGAAGTGGACACTCCAGAAGTCCACAGCACACCTAACATACTTATAAAAGCGTCATAAATAACCTAATTGGGCTTGTCAGCCTTCTCCAATGTCCTCTTAATTTTGGGTTAAATTCTCATTTATCACCGTTAGTTTAAAAGTTTAGATCTCGTTTGACTAAAAAAAAAAAAAATTAGAATAAAAATACAAGAATGTAAATAAAAATTAGGGAATTGCAATGAAATTTGATTTTAATGTTGTATTTAGAATAATAATAAGGAATCAAAATAAAATTTAAAATTCTTAATATTAATTTAGTTTTTAAAAAGAATAAGGATAATAGTTAAAAATATAATTTCATCAATTATAATAGTAATAAAGATGATACAAGTGATTACGATAGTGCTTGATAAATGAGAACGAAGAGGTGGTGGTGATAGTAATAATAATGGACTAATAGTATAGTAATAAAAATAATATATATTTTTTAAAAACTAATGATGGTAATAGTATATTAGTAATATAGTAATTGCAATAATATATTAAAAAAAATAATGTCACCAGCATAGGAGGTGGAAGTAAAAGAAAAGTGGTGATGGTGATGATATAATAAAAATGATAGTTGTTGTGATAATATAGAAGAGTGGTAGTAAAATTATAATAATAATATATATATATTTTTTTTATCACCATCGTCAATGCTAGGGGTGATGGTGGTGATGCTAGTGGTGGAGGTAGTAATAAATGTAGTTGATTTATAATAAATAAAAATAATATATTAGTATTTTAAAGAAAAAAAAATTTATTGTCATTCTTTATTTTTATTCTCACCTTTCTTTATGGTAATGAAACTATGTTTAATTTTTATTCTCATCTTCAATCTTCATTCTTATTTTCACTTTATTTTTTTCAATCAAACAACTATAAATTGAGAATAAAATTTTTTATTCATATTCTCATTATTTATTCCTAGTTACCAAACAATACATTAGATTTGTTTGCTTTGCGAAAAATCTTTTTTAATATTTTTTAATTAGAAATAAACACTAAAAACTAAAAAGTAAGTTAGTGGGATATATTTTTCATTCAACCCTACAATATTACCTATTTGTAGGAAATTATTTTTTTTCATACTACTAACTTACGGTATTCACCAAAATAATAATTTAATTATGTCAATAACCACTACTACCACAACAACAATTACCACTACCACCATCAAAGCTATTACAACTATCATCTTATTAACAATATAATAAACAATTTATCACCATCTCACTATAACTCTCCAATAACAACATCACTACTATAACAATAACCACCTCCTCCCCATAACCACTAACAACCACTCGACACCACTATTGAGTTATCTATATCACCATCATTTCATCACCATTTTAACTATCATCATAGCCACTCCAACACTATTATTACCACAACAATAATCACTATCACCAATTGTTATTGCTACCATCACCACCATCTTGTTGTTAAAATGACCGTCATTGCTTATCATCATTTTATCACCATTGGTACTTTCATCACTATCACAATAACCATCATCCTACGATTACCATTACCATCACCACAACCATTGATATTATCATAGTCAACTGCTATAAAAAAAACTATTATAATAACCATCACCATCATCACTACTTTTATTATAAATCCCATAATTTTTCTCATCTTACCATCATCATTCAAAACCACCGAGTATAAAAAATTATTTATTTTACATGAAAATATTTCTTTAATACATCTAAATAATGGAAATAACTTATTTTTATTTTTTAGAAAAATATTTTTCATAAGGATGAAAATATTTTGAGTAAAACAAAGAAAATCTTAGCATTGCATGCTTCTTTTGTTCAATGAGTATTTGCAAATCCCACGACCCCATAGGAAAAGGAAAAAAAATATAGTGAAAGCTTTGAACTCGTTCGTAACATTTAAAGGCTTTTACTTGGAAAAGTAATATTTCAAAATTAATTTTGACATGTGTTACAGGTATGTTGAATCAAATCAAAAGTACAAGAAACACCTTTTAACCATATTCATGTCGTCACCATGAGACGGACGGACGACTTTTCTTTACAAAGGACACATAATCCTAGTTTGGCTTTACTATGCACGAGCCTAAAGGTGAACAACAATCAAGAAAGAAAGAACTAATGTAGCTAGTGATAGTGTCTAGAAGGCATATTTTTTCATGGAAACATGTATCATTATTAGTTGGGCGTTGAGCAAGAACACCACCTAGGGATGGCAATGAGGCGAGGTGGGGAGGGATGGGGATTGCCATCCCCATCCCCGCCTCGTCCCCTTAAAAATTCCCCATCCCCGCCCCGTGTCCCGAACGGGGTAGAATTTGCCATCCCATCCTCACCCTAAACGGGGACGGGGATCCCAGTGGGGCAAACGGGACTTCGTTTTCTTGTTTGTGTCCGCCCCATCCCACCTAATTTTTTCCCGTTTTGACAGATTTTATAATGAGCACACACAATTTGCATAATTTTATTTCCCAAGCAAGAGATCAAATCACACGAACTCTACTATAAGTCACCGTTGACGGGGCAAAACGGGGCGGGGTGGGCAAATCCCATCCTCGCCCCATCCCCGTCTAAAAAATTACGGGGCGGGGTGGGGTGGGCGACCTCGGGTCGGGTCATTTTGCCATTCCTAACACCACCGGTTTGTTTTGGAATGCTCAGTCACTCGTAGCACCAAATTATGGCTTTAAGAATTATTATTGTTGTTGTTATTATTATTTCTAAGAATGGCATAAACGCACATAGTAATGTCTCTAGCTAGTTGTCTTCATTCTCATAAGGACTAGGATTCACCTTTGTTTTGTATATGGGCCAAAGAAAATGATGCAAGTTTTAATGTTTCTCATATAGAGTCCTCGTCATGAAATGACAACTTAATCCCTTTTGTGATCCGAACTTCCTTTGCTTTTTAAGATATACTCAATCTTTTTAGTCATGCATCCTATAGTTTTTTGAAATTGTTTTCGAAGGGATAGAGTGGTGGGAAAATCTGGACCATTACCATATTTGTGACATGAACCAATCAATAATCAATATTTGTAAATATTGATGAAATGATGATTATGTGAATGGAAGGGAAAGGAAGAAAATTAAACAAAATTTTGATTAGTTAATTTTTTTCCCTTTTGTGTACATAAAAGTTTTCATTGGAAATGATGAATTTTATATGTGAAAACAATGTGGAAATGATGTAGTGAATGACAACAATCGTTTAAGGTAGATGATCCACATGGTCAAAATATTACTTTACAATAAAAACAATAACTCATTTTATATGTTGAATGCTTATAAAAACCAATTGGTGACATTGGTATTCTCTTAATTGAAAGAGAGAGGGTGGAGTTTTGGATTCAAATTCTATTATTATATTCTCAAAATATATGCTATGATCATAAATAGAAAATTGCTACACTATGTATTCTTAATACGGGGTGTCATGAAAACATTGCTTATGAAAATTATTATTAGAATTGATGAGTCTAAGAATACTCATCCAAGTAAAATAAAAGTGATGTGGCTCGTTATAACTGAATTTTAATAGAAGAAATGGTTGAACTCCGGCACCTATAAACAAGTTCTCATATTGGTTAAGAGACCCCCGATGATTAAATTAGTAGCTAAAGAGTGGAAAAATAGCTCGATTAGGCTTTTAACATAATGTAATGAATGTATGTGTGGAGGAAAGAAATAATAACTTGTGTTTCTAAGGATATAAAGAATTATTCAAAAGTTGTGAACCTAGAACTTTTTGTAGTTAGGTTTTTATATAAATAAGATTTCAACGATTGGTTTAGTTGAAGGATCGTTAATGACTTCGGTAGAAACCTTAAGTGGTCATATGCATGATGTGATT